GCAGGTCGAGGCTGCTGCGGTGGCCGGGAGCGGCCTCTGAACGCCAGTCTGGGCGACAGAGTGAGACTCCAACTCAAAAAAAAAACAAAAACAAAAAACAAACTGGAGAGAAGCTGGGAGAGGTCTCAGGGGGAAAGGCGGTGAGCAAAGGGGCGGTGTCAGATTCACCCCAGCTCAGGGCCGCAGCCTCCCCTCCTCGCTGGGGTTGGCAGTGCCAGGGTTGCCCCTCAGAGAAGGGGCACCCTGGGGCATCTGGGCGAGTGGGAGAGGACTTCTCGGGAAACGGACCTTCGCGTGCCACCAGGTTCTTCGTGAACTTCGTGGTGGGACAGGACCCAGGGTCAGACATCGCCTTGCACTTCAACCCCCGCTTCGACGGCTGGGACAAGGTGGTCCTCAACACGCTGCAGGGCGGCAAGTGGGGCAGCGAGGAGAAGAAGCGGAGCATGCCCTTCCGCAAGGGTGCCGCCTTCGAGCTGGTGTTCATGGTGCTGGCAGAGCACTACAAGGTGGGCGCCCGGGGCCTCCCTGGCTCCCTGCTTCCCTCTCTTCTTCCTTCCTCCCTCCCTCCTTCTCGCCTCCTTTCCTTTTTCTCTTCTTTTCCTTCCTGCCTGTTTTTAGAAATTCCTCTTCCATCTCCCTTTCTGTTCATCTCTGCCCTCCACACTGTGAGCCTTTTTCTGTGTTTCCCGTGTCTCATCTCGTCCCTTAGGGTTCTTGTAAAATGTACGCTTTGACGAAAGTAGAGCCCCCTGTGTCTCCTGCACCTGCCAGCGGTTGTCACCCCCAGGTCCCTCTACCACCCCCTCGCCCTCCCGTATTATTTGACGGCAAATCCCAGTCATCACATACTTCACCCATATATATTTCCATCTTAAAAACACGGCCAGGCTGGACACGGTGGCTCACACCTATAATCCCAGGACTTTGGGAGGCCGAGGTGAGAGGATTGCCTGAGCTCACGGGTTCGAGACCAGCGTGGGCAAGTTGGTGAGATCTCATCTCTACAATAAATACAAAAATTAGCTGGGCGTGGTGGCGCATGCCTGTAGTTGCAGCTACTTGGAGGCTGACGTGGAAGGATCACTTGAACCCAGCAGGTTGAGGCTGCAGTGGCTGTGAGTGTGCCACTGCACTCCAGTCTGGGCAACAGAGTGAGACTCCAACTCAACTCCCCCCCCCAAAGAAAAACACATGACCACAGTGCCATGGCCACACCTGAAAATGAGCGGTGCTTCCTTAGGGCCTTGCCATGTCCTGTCCCATTCCATTTATCTCCTGAGTGCTGCAGTGTTGGTCTTTTTCCACTGTGTGTTGGAATTGGGGTCTCTACAAGGCCCCATGTGGTGATGAGTAAGCAAGTCATTTCCGATGTTTTGTTTTTGTTTTGAGTTGGAGTCTCACTCCGTCACCCAGACTGGAGTGCAGTGGCCGCTCCCGGCCACCGCAGCCTCGACCTGCTGGGCTCCGGCGATCCTTCCGCCTCAGCCTTCCAAGTACCTGGAACTACAGGCGCGCGCTACCACGCCCAGCTAATTTTTTGACTTATTGTAGAGATGAGGTCTCGCCAAGTTGCCCAAGCGGGTCTCGAACCTGCGGGCTCAGGTAATCCACTCACCTCAGTCTCCCAAGGCATGGGTTTACAGGCTGAGCCACCGAACCTGGCCATTTCTGATGTTTTATGGAAGTTTGGCCACGTCGAGATGTGCATGCCTCATGGACACAGCTGGTTGGCTTTTCATAGCGAGAATATACCCGTGTTTCCAGCACCATCCAGCCCCAAAGCCCCTTGGCCCACTCAGTTCCCTCCTGACCTCTCTTGGCTTTCTATTTCTACACTTTTTTTTTGAGTCGGAGTTTCACTGTTGCCCAGGCTGGAGTGCAGTGACACGCTCACGGCCACTGTAGCCTCGACCTGATGGGCTCAGGTGAGCTTTCCGCCTCAGCTTTCCAAGTGGCCGGAACTACGAGGTGTCTGCCACCACCACATCTGGCTATTTTTTATTTATTTCTTAGAGGAGAGATATCGCCAAGTTGCCCAGGCTAGTCTTGAACCCGTGGGCTCAGGCAATCCTCTCACCTCCACCTCCCAAAGTGCTGGGATTACAGGCATGAGCCGCCATGCCTGGCAATGAACTGAATTTTAACTCCAGCTTGACCTCTGAACTGTGGACTGGGAAGGTCCTTGACTCTGAGGCTGTCCCAGCTCACTCCCAAGACTTTTGACCTCAAGTGAAGAAAACCCCTATTTCTCCCTTCCCAAAGTCACACATGCTAACTGCTTCTCCCTGCCCTCCAGGTGGTGGTCAATGGAAGTCCCTTCTACGAGTATGGGCACCGGCTGCCTCTGCAGATGGTCACCCACCTGCAGGTGGATGGGGACCTAGAGCTCCAGTCAATCAACTTTATTGGGGGCCAGTCCCCCACACCCCAGGTGTGTGCCGTCCCTTCCCTTAACTGTGTTCTTCCCTTCGTAATTTAGTACCACGTTTTTTTCTTTCCCAAGCAACTGTTCTGTGGTAGTCTCTCTGCTGAGTGGTGCCAGGGACCTAGGGGTGACTAAGACAGTCCACTGGGAGGACAGACCCATCCCAGACAGTGCTGGCTGCGAGTGGTCAGGGCCATGTGTGAGGTACAGGTGAAGAGGTTGGGCCCTGGCCTAGGCACGGCTAGAGACACAGGGGTGACTAAGACAGCCCTGGGCCCGGGCCTCACAGGGCTCACGGATATGGCCTCTGACAGTGACAACCTAGAAATGGTCTAGGCCGGGAGGAGAGAGACACAGCAGGTTTGGAGAGTCTAGAGGAAGGGCCTGACCTAGTCATGGGGTCTGGAGGGCTTCCTGGAAGAGGAGTGCGTAAGCTGAGTCAGGAAGTGATGATAAGGAGGAGGAAGAGCACATGAAGAGTGAACAAATTCATGAAGGTTGCTGAACACCGTTAGTCACCTGGGAAATGCATTTTTTTTTTTTTAAGTTGGAGTCTCACTCTGTCACCCAGACTGGAGTGCAGTGGCCGCTCCGGGCCACCGTAGCCTCGACCTGCTGGGCTCCGGCGATCCTTCTGCCTCAGCCTTCCAAGTAGCTGGAACTACAGGCGCGTGCTACCACACCCGGCTAATTTTTGATTTATTGTAGAGATGAGGTCTCGCCAAGTTGCCCAGGCAGGTCTCGAACCTTCAGGCTCAGGAAATCCACTCACCTCGGCCTCCCAAAGCACGAGATTACAGGCCGAGCCACCAAGCCCAGCCAGAAATGCACTTTTAAACCGCAATGAGCCCCCGCTGAACACCCACCAGAAGAACCTAACAAAATAGGGATGCAACACCAGCTGCTGATGGACACGTGGGTCAGCTGACCCTCCCGGGCACAGCCAGGGGGCATTGGTACATGCTTCTTGGAAGGTGGCAGGGCAGCATCTGTAAAGGTTGAACGAATGTGCCCAATGGCCTAGAAACCCCGTTCCCGGGCATACTCCCGGCAGCACCATTTATAAAAGCCCCAGACTCCAGATCCCACCGTATTCTTCAGCGGGCCAGGGAGTCAGTACCCGTGTTCATCATCCAAAGGCGAGGATGAGCAAGTTACAGCCACACACAACAGGAGCGCTGACTCCCAGAATCAGCTGTGGAGACAAAAAAGCAAGTTTGCTAGCCGGGCTCGGTGGCTCAGCCTGTAATCCTGCGCCTTTGGGAGGCTGAGGTGA